ATAAATAAATATTTAAGTTCATGAATTCATCTCAATGGACATAAGAAGCGCAAATAGGGATGTTTTGTATTGTTTTCAGATTGTGATTCTGTTGCATGTATTATACATCAGGTCCAAGGCTCCGTTGAAAATTTAACTCATGATAATAAAAAATATTTTTATTATTCTCCATATTGTCACGAAGAGTCATAGATTTACTAGTAGTAGTGAAATTAACGGTAGTTAATAATTGTATATAATCTACATATTAGGATAATTCCTGACAAACCGAGGATAGATATTCCTTGACTTGAAAAATTTCGTGACATGTGATATAAGGAGGGATGCGACACCTTCATGCGGTAAAATAAATCCAGAGAATTTAAGTAGCAGTGCTATGTATTATCCCTATTGTAGGTGTAGGAATATGAAGTTACAGAATAGAAATTATATACCGATCCATCTAATAAAATCAGGGTTTGAAGAGAAATATAAATATTAGTCATGTCATGCAGAAGGCTGTATTGAAGATGAGGAGCCGAATGTGTGTGTTGGTATGCCCAGTGGCTTACGGATAGACGAACATAAATAATGTTCAATGATATTTTTCCCCATCCCACCGAATATGATATCGACGATAATGTTGAAGATGATATTGGAGATGACATTGAAGATGATATCGAAGATGATGCTGAAGAGGTTGAACATATCGAAGGTGCAGAAAATATTAAAGATATGCATTCTTCCGCAGACATAAATTGAATAATGAAGCTACTGGAATGGTGAAAATGACCTATATGATGGCTTTACTGAGTACTCTAGATTTTTATTTATGATAAAACTCCTACATATTAAGGCACTTAGCAGAATGTCTGATAATTATTTTGAAATGCTTCTTGATTTGCTTTGGATAGTAATTCCTAGAGGAGAGATTATCATACCCCTAACAAATTATCAGGTTGAGAAAATTATTTTTGCTCTAAATCTTGATTATAATAGGATTGATGCATGTCGGAATGATTGTATCCTCTGCCACAAAGCCAGTAAAGACCTTCGGGAGTGTCTAGCATGTGAAGTTTCTCAGTGAAAACGATGCACAAACTCTTCAACAAGGAGGACAATAGAGTCAGAGGGGATGCAGAAGGAGATCCTAGGAAAGGTGCTTCGTTATTTTCTGTTGGTCCCTAGATTGCAACAGTTGTATATGAACAATGACACTACAAAGAACATGAGGTAACACAAGGAAGATCAAGTAGATGATGGTAAATTGAGACATCCTGCTGATGTTTTATCTTGAAAGTATGTTGATAAAATTTTTATCCTTATTTTGCCGATGATTGTAGAAATATCAGACTAGGCCTATCTAGCGATAGATTCAATCTGTTTGGGGTAATGAGTTCTGGCTGGTCAACGTGGCCAGTTGTATTAATGCTATATAATTTAACTCCATTGCTTTGTATGAAATAGTCATATATGATACTTTCATTATTGATACTTGGTAAGCATGCACTGAGTAATGATATTGATGTTTGTCTGGAGCCACTAATTGATGAGCTGAAACAGTTCTGGTCTAAGGGTGTATTGACGTATGATGTCTATTTTAAAGACTCGTTTAGGTTACATGCTATTCTAATATGGACGATTAATGATTTTCCAGCTTATGCTACTCTATTCGGTTGGTCTATGAAGGGAAAGTATGCTTGTCCTGTATGTGGTCTAGAATTTGAAGCTCTTCAATTACCGCATAGCCGAAAGAGCTGTTATTAGTTTAATTGAAGGTGGTTACTCTTGAGTCATAAGTATAGAAAATTATCTACTGTTTGATGGCACAATTGAGAAGAGAATGAAGCCGCATCAGTTGACTAGAGTTGAGATTGTAATGTTGCTTAAGGGGTATCCAAAAGTAAGGTTTGAAAATAATCGTTAGTCTAAGTATAACCTGCTCGGAGTAAGAGATTCCTTAAAGAGAAAAAAGTCATTGAAGTGTAAGAGAACAGTCTGAAGAGTACAAGATGAGAATGAAGCCAAAAAATTATCTAGAGGATGGACTAAATTTAGTGTCTTCTTTCCGCTATCTTACTGACAAAAGCTTAAAATCTGACACAACTTAGATGCCATGCATATGGAGAAAAATATTTGCAATAATATAGTGTCAACTCTCATACAAGATGCAACAAGTTGAAGGACGGCCTAAGGGCTCACCAAGACTTGACCGTGTTGAATATTCGGAATGATTTATAAGCACATGATGTTGGTCTTAAAAAATTGAAGTTGCCTTTGTCTCGTATTACAATCTCAAATGAGTAGATGCAAAGATTTTGTGAAGTTCTCAAATCGGTAAAGTCACCAGATAGTTACTTTGTTAACATATCAAACAATGTCCAGGTGTAAGAGAGGAAACTCTTAGGTTCGAAGATCTATGATTACCACGTCCTTTTTCATCAATTGCTTCCGATTACATGCAATAACAATATGATAAAAGAAGCGTTGAAGATTATTATTGAGCATTGTGGATTCTTCAAAAAATTATGCTCTAAAGTTAGGATGAATTTAAAAAACTTGAAGACGAGATCCGAGTTAAATCTCTATGTAATATGAAAGTAATATTTTTTCATTCATTTTTTACAATCATGGTCCATATTACCCAACATTTCGCATAAGAAGCTAGAATCGTAGGTCTTGTTACTTATCGTTGGATGTATCCGATTGAAAAGTTAGATTTTTGTCACCTTTATTAATTATATATGTATTTCTTATATTGACTTCATAATAATTACATCTTTTCAAAATTTGAAGGTATTTGGGTTTCATGGAACACAATATTCTCAAACGAGCTCATCCACAGGGCTCGATAGTTGAAGGGTATATGCTCAACGAATGTTTTGTGTTTGCATCGCGTTACATGCATGAGAAGAAAACTGCACATCAGTTACCAACTAAGGATAAGAAACATGAAAAATATCCAAGATCTCACTCAGATCAAAATTCATGAATATGTATTAAAAAATCTTGATATTTTTTAAGACCACCAAAGGTAACAAATGAAAGCAGTAACATAGATGATATATGTTCATTTACTTTTAGTTCACCAATATAATCTTATATGTTGTATTAACATGCAACATCTGTAGAAGCTTAAGAATGAAATAACCGGTAGGAATACAACACATAATATTTAGAAAAAGCGTAAGAAAGAATTTCCAGATTGGTTCAGAATTGATGTAAGTGTCGTATAATTAAATTTTGAACTTTCATAATATAACTTTAAGTTAAACTTGTCCTAAATATTCTCTGATATTGTTTGGCTTAGGTTAAAAAATCACTTCTTGATAGCACTATATTATCAGATGAAATTATTATTCATGCACAACATCCTTACCAAAAAGTAAGACGTTATAATAAATGTCTCATCAACAGGTATAAGTTTCAAATGCTAGAGACCGATGATAGGAGGGTGACCCAGAACAGTGGGGTCATGGGTTGTTTTGCTCAAGAATATTTTTAAGTATAAGAGATCAGATGTAAAACCCCATAAATTTGAAAATATTGTGATAAATAGTGATAAATGAGTTTTTATTATGATAAATATCATTTATTGAGAAATGAGTATGTTAGTAATCGATTTTAGATTGATTAAGTATGTATATGAGAGTAAATGAGTGAAAACATGCACACCCATGCACAAACTGTAAATCAGTTCTGTGATCTGGTCGGTCGATCGACCTAAGCTGATCGGTCGACTGATTATACCCAATCGGTCGACCAATGCATTATGGTCAGTTGACCGATGGGGCTATATCAAGTTTTCCCAGTTTGACTTGGTTTCGGGTTTTGTTGATTTGTTTCGGGTTTACCCGTATATATATATAAGAATATACACCCGAAAATTCTCCTTTTCATCATATTTTCTAAACCCAAGCGGCTACCCTCTCCCCTCAAACCCTAGATCATATTTTGGTAACATTTTGAGAGCTTTGCGAAGCAAATATCGAAAAGAGGGTGAGATCGTCAGTGTTTGGCGAAGGAGGATTAGTTTTCTTGCATTCTTGGGGATTCCAGCACATTTTGAGGTGAGTTTCATTTCCTCCAGTCCCATCCCCATTTTAATTAGTTTTTATTGAGTTTTATCTGATTTTATTGGGCCTTAAAACCTAATTTAAGTAAAAAGATTACTCTTTTAAACTATAAGATACAAATATTTGATCTTTTTGCTTTCAAAAGTTATAAACGAATTCTCTGAATTGGATTTAAGGTCAGAAATAAATTTTAACATGGATTTTGTCAAAGATTTGTGGTTTGCATGACGTTTCATACGAACATGACTATGTTAGGGTTAATATAATCCACTTAACTATATTAATTATGTTTCATGTAGTTAATTGAATCCTAATCACATTAAACAAGTTTAATTATATATGTTTTACGTGAAGATCTCGTTTTGTAGTATTATAGATTGAAAACCTACACTGTAACTCACTCTCATGTTCTGCTCGGGTTGGTCGACCGAAGCAAAGGAGTCGGTCGATCGATCCCACATGTTTTGCCTTGTGCATGGTTTGTGCATATCGTCGGTCGACTGATGAAGATACATCAGTCGACCGGTCTGTGTAAATTTGTGAATTAGTCATTTTTGTCATGTGAGTTGATTGTGAACCCGAAGTATGAGTCGCACATCGAGATACATGCATCGTGATTTCCGGATTAGACCAAACTCTATGATGCATCGTGATTTCCGGATTAGACTAATATGCCTATACATCGAGCCATATATTTCCGGATTAGGCTAATATGCCTACACTCTATGATGCATTGTGAAAAATAGATTGGTTTTTGCAATTAAATGTCTAAAAGGGTTTGTTTTGAAAATTTATCCTACATCTTAATCAGATGAAATGTCACATCTTAATCAATGTCACATCTTTCACAGTTAATCAGCGTTGGAGATATATGGCTCCCTGTGGCAGCTAAGGACATTAATGTAGTTTTATCTGCAATATTTAATTCAAAAAACACTTGACTTAAATAGGTCAACTGACCTCCCTCTCTTTTAATTGGTTCTCTCCTTTTTCACTTTCTTGTGATCTTCTCTAAGATTGGGGAGTTGGTCTGATCAAGAAATGCCGCACAAGGTACCATTTCTCAATCTTCATTATTAGAAATTATTCTTATTATTTTTTACATTAAATAATTTGACTAACCCATTATAGAATGAACTTATACTTCATGTCATCTAACATCATCTTAATTACTTTCTTTTGGGATGTCCATAGAGGTACGAACATAAAATCCTAAAATTATGGTTTCTCTGTTTGACTCTCTTGGAATGCAATTTTGTTCAGTAACGTCCATATCTCAATCCTTTATTTCTTAATGAGTTGTTGCCATAAAATTATATATCCGATTATTGAAAATCATTACTTTCAATTTGTGTTCACCCATGAGCATGCCATAACTCATAACATATTGGTCATCATAGGTCTCCACTATAATCTTGAAGGTTGATCTAGATTGTCAACGTTGCTACAAAAAGATCAGCGAAACAATATGCAAGCTCGAAGGTAATCAACAATCATAATTTCACAATAAAAAAGCACCATTGTTTTCTTCAAAGAAAACCACTTGTATCAAAAAGTCTTGACTTGTTTATATGAATTCTACTTCTTGAGTGCGAGAGAACATCCAAACCATCGAATTCGACGAGAAGAACAACACGGTAACAATCTCTGGGCGGTTCGATCCGAAAAAGCTCAGCAAGAAGCTCTGCTGCGGAGCTAGCAATGTCATCAAGGACATTCAAATTATAGAGAAGAAGGAGAAGGGGGAGCCTAAATCGGATGAACCAAAGGACAAGATCAAGGAGACCAAGAAAGATGACCCTAAGAACGGTGAGTCCAAGGATGGCAACCTCAAGGATGATCCTGTAAAGTCTGAACCGGTCATCGAGTCCCAAGAGCCCGAGTTAGGTTGCCGACCGGTTAGGCCAAGTTTTGGTTGCAACTGCGCTTGCAGGCCGTGGTACGAGGGGTGTTGTGGAAAATGTTGTTGGTGTTGGAGGGGTAATGGCTGCCGCCGGCTGAATCTATCGGTGCACCGCCTTGTCGAGGATATGAGAGTTGCCAGTTCGTTATTGAGGAGGAGCCTCAACCTCCGTGCACTATCATGTAATTTAGCATAATTAATATTTGTTTGAGGGTATTTTGTGAAAAAATGTTGGTGAATAAATCTTAAACTTGTACGTATAGTGAGACTTCATAGTGACTCTATAATTGGTTTCATCAGTCATTATCATGTTTAATCGGACCACATAACTTTAAATTTTGTTGTCGATTGATGTGGATTGAGGAGCAACCAAGGTAGTAACGTTGTTTGTTACAAACTTAGCTGCCGGCATAATAATAGTGTCATGTATCATATCTCTATTTTTATGTAAAATGAGATAATTATTAAAGTGGAATAATTTTTCGTTAGTGGGATATTTTAGTAGGATAAATAGGAACAATTTTGTAAAGCGGTATATTTTGATAAAATAACGTGGGATAAATTTTTATAATCATGAAATATATATTTATGCATTTTGAATATTTTTATAATCATGAAATATATATTTATGCATTTTGAATATATAAATACTATTTATGTATTTTAAACTTACTATTATTAATTGATAATATATAAATACTATTTATGTATTTTAAACTTACTATTATTAATTGATAATTGCTTACAAGAATGTTCTTACTATTAAATAACTTTTGGTTAGACTATATGATATTGACAATTATTATTATAATGATGGTCTAATGATGCAGGTGACAACCACAATAGGAAAGAAGTAAAGAAAAAAAGGAAATATAAAAAATAACAAATAACAAAATAAATATGAGTTCTAGTTTTGTACCACCTAGTTCTAAGCTAAAACTTGGAATAATTTGAGAGACTAGAACTCTCATATTTTGTATAGAAAAATAAAAAATGTGGGATAATTTTGTACCATTATCTCAATTCTAGTTTTGTTAGAATTCTACTTGATTAACACTGTAAAATTTTGTTCTAGTTTTAGTTCTATGTAACTAAAACATTAAAAATTTATCTTACAGATTATCCCAATTCCAATTTTAAGTTCTAGGTGACTAACCACACTACAAGAAATTACATCTTTAACGAAGGGATTTCCCTTCGTTAAAAAGCTGAAAACCTTCGTTATTGAATGCTAACGACGGGGAAAAATCCCTTCGTCACCCGTCGTTGAAGCCCTCTTCGCTAAAGGGTCACGAAGGGATATACTACCCGTCGTTATAGAGTCTATTATGACGGAACATATTACCGTCATTAATATTTACGACGGTAATTATCACCGTCGTTACTATCAGTCACGGGGATATTTTCCCGTCGTTACCATCAGTGACGGGATATTTTCCCGTCGTTACCATTAGTTACAGGGATATTTTCTCGTCGTTACCATTAGTTACGGGGATATTTTCCCATCGTTGAAGACTAATTAATAACGGTTGGATACCGTCATAAAAGTCTTTATAATGGGTAATTAGTCACCCATCAATGACGGTGCTTTTCCTTCGTTGATGAATAAAATATGGTTTATAAAACCGTCATTGTAGACTACAAATTTCTAATATACATTAATAATAATTTTTCCATTCATAGACAACTATCATATTATTCTCAACCTGACACTAAGATTCACAACAAAAAAAATATTAAAAATACCCAATAATGAATAAGAGGGAAAATAAAAATTCCATTCATTAATAACATCAATAAATAAAATTCTATCATCCTCAAATATTCAATACTAATAACAAGAGTTAATATCCTAATTGTTCCAAAGAAAAATACATGAAACTATCTAAAACAAATTAAAATAAAAGTTTGGGGAAGACACATTCTTTCATCTCTAATCATCGTCAAAAGAAGACTCGAGCTACCCCCTCCTAATCTTGCATGGATAGCCTAATTTTTTTTTAAAAATCACATAATTAAGAAATATCAATTAAGCAAATATTATTGTCATGCACTTATTTGATCATTCCAAGAACTTTTCGAAATTTAAATAGCATAGCCAGTTACCCTGAAGACCCCATAAGAATTTCTCATGAGATTAAATTTATTCATAATTAAAAGTTCTAATCATAATTAAATATTCGGTGTTACTAATAAAACTATAACTATCCATAATTCAAAGTTATAATATTTCACAAAGATCCTGCTATCAACCATGCCTTCATGTGTGCGGAATTCATAACGTGCATTTTGCACAAAACACCCCAAACTTCAATATTTTCCAAATGGATCCCTCTATATACGTCCACATATATGATTAACTTCTCAATCTTATGCAATGCTCCCAATCACTCAAAGACCCCGCCCATACTCCTCTAATGCACCACCCAGACTTTGTATTTTTGCACTTAAGCCCCTCATACTTCCAATTTTGCATAACACCCTCTATTGACTTCATAAATACACCAAAGCCCATATTATCTATATTTCACCTTTAAAAAAAAGAAATTCTAATTGTTAAAAACTATTTGATAATCCTAATAAAAATATAATTATCCCCAATAAAAAGTCAAATAATCATATTTTTAATTCTCTTTTCTTTTTTTTTCTATAAAGAACAAATTGGATACTACCCCTTGAAAAATCATGAAACTAGAAATACCTAAAAATGAAAAAATTGCAATTATTCCACTAAAAATATGAAATTACAAAAAAAGATTGAAAAATATAAAAATTACTAGCAACTCTTTTCAATTTTAAAAAAAATACACACTATTAACTTAAAATTTTTGGAAACTACAAATAATATCCTTAAGGACCTACAAATTACAAAGATCTCCTTTGAAAAATAAAAAATTCCAGAAAGACCATTGAAAAATCTAAAAATTTCAAGCAGGGCCTAAAAATTCAAAAATTACAAACAACAAACAAAAAATTTAAATACTATAAATAGCTCCCTGTGAAAAATGAAAAATTACAAATAACACCCTTTAAATCTAAAAATTACAACTAATCTCCTAAAAATCTGAGAATTACATATGAAAATTATAAACAATCGTTATTGGCATTTTTTCTGAAAGTTATTGGGGGTTAATTAACAAAACTAAAAACTTATTGAGTAGTTTTTGCTTAAATTTATTAGATATTTTGTTCATTTGACTATAAGGAATTAACAGTGTTAATTTGACAATTTTCTGCCAATCATTTTTTAGGGGCTTAGTGAGATTTTCAAAGGTAAGGGGTGTTTATTGCCAATCACTCAAACTTACTAGGGATTTATTACCCGTGTTTCACTTTTTTGTAGAGAGAGTAGATTAATTGCTATACATTAAAAAATTATATCTATTAAAGAATAAATTAGTGGTTACCACTTTGATGATGTACATTGCCTGTTAAATTAAGATGGGACTAACATCCTAAATGGATAGGATAATCAAGTAAAAGGTAACATCATAAGTAAAGAAAACATGGATCCACTATTTTGCAAGCAAAAAAAAAAAAAAGAACAAACTGAACTGCATAAATTAGTGGACATGGACAAAGTGGTTTGAATCCCACTTTTATATATTAAAAGAGATAAAAAATTTGTGGTTTAGTATCAGACTTACATCTCAAAAAACTGCAACATGTCCCTCGCTACTTTTGAATTTTACAATTTGAAGTAAAAAATTATCTACACAAGATGAAAGGAACAAGACCACCCGTGCGAGCACGGGAACAACGCTTGTACCTTAGTGAAGGGGAATTGTTTTGATGCTTTCGTCTTATGCAATGATAATGTGATAATCCTCCATTATTATTATTATTATCATCCCTCCTTTATAATTTTATATAATAAGAAATTTGTGGAATTTCTAAAGGCACAAAATATGACACATAAGCATGTAAGGCAATGACAAGTGTTATATCCACATGTCTTTTTATTCTATTAGAAAATGACACGTGTGAATGAAAACAGAGGAGAAGGAAGAACAAATTTTGAGGGGGATTCTGTTAATGGGTAAGAGGTTTTTTACTTTCTTTTGTTGTGATTTCTCAAGGAGATTTCTCCTCAATTTATAGGGGCTGAACCCACTAACTCCACCCCCCAAATCCGCCCCAATGAGAGATTTTCTCTCAACAACCCTTCCACGTTTTCACGTTCCACAATTCTCTCTACTGAGAATTGTTGATTTGGTCATCTTAGACCAGGTCAAGCTAACATCTCCCACTTGACCAAATCAACCAAGTGATATGCCTCCCACTATCCGTGAGATCAGATGTTTCTGCTTACCATTACTCCCACTATCCGTAGAGAGTAACTCTTATTTCATTATTCATGAAATTTTACTTGGACTTATTTATTCCTAAGTCCCATCAAACTTACATGTTTGATAAAAGATTCTGCTGGTATTCCTTTTGTCAAAGGATCAGCAATCATATCTGTAGTAGGGATATAAGTCATTTTGACTTCTCCCTTTTCTACAATATCTCGAATATAGTGATACTGGATCTCAATATGTTTTCCTTTGGAGCTATTCGCGCCACTATTGATTAAGCTAATTGCTGCTTGATTATCACAATAAATATCAATAGGTCCTTCTAACAAATTAAGATCAAGATCAATCAAAAACCGTCTTATCCAAACAGCATGTGTAGTTGCCATACTGCAAGCTATATATTCAGCTTCTTGCGTATATCTAGCAACACACCCTTGTTTCTTGCTGCTCCAAGAAACAGCTCCTCCTCCAAAGATAAATAAGTGTCCCGAAGTGGACTTTCCATCATCTTTATCACCTCCGAAATCAGCATCGGAATAACCGAGGAGTTCAAGCGAATCAGCTTGATAAACTAATCTATGAGTCAATGTACCTCTGATATACTTCATAATCCTTTTAACAGCTTCCCAATGTGCTGGTCCTGGATTACTTTGATATCTACTGACTAGACTCACAGCATAAGCTATATCAGGTCTGGTGCACAACATTGCATACATCAAGCTTCCAATTGCTTGAGCATAAGGAACATCTAATGGCTTATGCCCCTCTCTAGGGCTTTGCTCTTTACATAATCTATTTCCCATAACCAACGGAGTTGGTGCCGGATTGGAATTCTCCATTCCAAACCTTTTAAGAACTGATCTTAAATATTTTTCTTGGTTTAAACTTAGCATTCTAGACTTTCTATCTCGAATTATTTGAATTCCAAGAATATATGATGCATCTCCCATGTCTTTCATCTCAAACTTTTCGCTGAGATCTGCCTTGGTTTTATTCAACATTTCTATGTCATTTCCAGCGAGCAATATATCATCCACA